AGTCCCCTCAAACCGACCGACCAAAGCCGACACATAGACGATTGTTCATTTGGTGTGGGAGGTGCCTCGAGTCGCGCTAAGTGTTGCAAGCGGCTGGTCTAGTCTCGTGTGACACGAGTGTCCTCCCATCCCCCGACCCCTGACTGCCTCATGTTGCTTTTCGGCATTCGTCTCTCACTTTAAGTCACTTATGTGCCATCAGTGGTCTCTACGACATCCCCTTTGATTACACTCAAGAACCTTTAACGTGTGATATTAGATAGATAGCTGGCGTTGTTACTTAATACTAGTCACTTTACGGTCTGTACAGAGAATTCATGTTTTATGTAGCCGTGTGAATTTGGTTATATTAATCATAAATATGGTTTTGCGTATCCAGACGCAGAGACCTAAAGTTTATACGTATAGGGAGATCCAACGTGTTCTTGGCGCAGAAAAGGGGAGACAAAGCTAATTTATACGATGCGGTGATATGCATCCAGTAAAAGCGCTACAACCTGAAAGGATAGATAGACTACTGTGTGTTACATATGTAAAGAACTCGTTTTGCTGTTGTTAGTGATTATCTACCGTTAAATAAAAAGTTTCTTATATCTAAATCTTTTTCATACGAAGTACAAAAGCAACGACGGTACAGACATTATAGGGTTTTGTGTAGACACTGTCGTGGCTTAAACAGAACAAGCTTAGGGTTAAAGTTTTGCTTGGACAGTCTTGTCCGAAACTAGACGATTAATTTCAACACTACCGTCTCATATCATTCTTCGAGGGTTCTTGGGTGGTGTCTTTCCTGCTTTGGACCCCTCTTGTATCTCCTTCCTAGGCTAGAGCGTCGTTTGTATGTGAAATATGCACATCTGGTTATAGTACACACGAAATGTTAGTGGTTATTTACAGTGTTCGAATGTACCACGGTGGCTCTTTCATCTGGGCGGTCCTAGCTGAGTACCTAGATTTGTATCGCGACAGTAATACTCGTTGAGCGTCGTCTTCACTTCTCCAAGGTTGACATAGTTGGACAATGGGAGACAAAAGTGTAGCAGCAGTCAAGTGTCGCTCCAGAAACACTCGACCAGTGATTTCGAAACCTATGCGTAATCTAATGTCTCCGCTAGTAGTCTCACAATACCCGGTTCGACAGCCTACAAGTGCCCTAGTCGTCCTGTCTACCACGTCAATTTCTCAGAAGGTTAAAAATATCTGAAGGCAGACTTTTACAGACGGTACTGCGGTAACCAGTCGAAAATCCGGTATAAGTGGGTGTGCGGTTTGCTGTAGACTAAGGAATGTATACATGCCATCCAACGATAGCCGTCCCGCCTGACTGATTTTTAGTCGGGCCCTTTGCAAGCTTGGCGGTGGCATCAGTTAACAGTTACTCCCCATGTCGCATGACCCCACGATGCCACTTAACATTGAAGGCCCATGGCCTCAGGGTGCGGCCCCCTCTTTTGAGGGTTCCGGTCAGGTCGGGACGCAATAGCCACTGTTCGGTGCGTCGAAGCGTCCAAACTCGCCCCACAAACTATATGGAAAATATTGTGGTCGTAAATGGATTAGTCACATTTTCCGTCGTAACAAGATTTCTATACTAGTACGTTTGACTACCTACATGCTCTAGGAAGAGAATTCTTCTTCGATGGACAAGGTTTTCATTAAATGAACGACATCGAAGACAAAGCACTGCCGGAAAAAAATTTAGGTACACAGAAAAGCGTTGGACCATGTGGTACTGAAACTGGACTCACTTACCCGAAAGGTTATCGAGTTTAGCTAAATTTTGATTATTAGTGCTAGCAATGGTCATTCGCGAACTAACAGAAGGAAACGATCTCACGGGAACGGGTCTAATTGTGGGTAT